TTTCCCTATTGAGTTGGATCATGAGTGTTACTTTTCTATGACAAGCTCTGCTCTGTAGTTCTCACAACCAGCACAATGTTGTATAGAGAATTTTAGAAAGAAGTAATGTTTAAAATCATGAGAACATTGTTTTGCAAGGTTTTTCATGAAATCTGCTCCCCAGTGAGATGATGGCTCTACAATTTGATAGTGTCTCTTCAACAGTGAGGGTAGTTTTTTGGGGCTAACAGTTTTTTATTCCGTATTTGTGCAATCTTTGCATGGTAGAGCCCATACCCATGGCTGAGGTTTGCTGTAATTTGATTTATGATAATATGTTAATGACTACTTTTGCAATGTGGTAAACATACCACTTTTCAGAGGAAAACAAAAAAATCACAAAGAATATTTCATTGCGTTACTATATGGAAAGCTGTTCTTGGAGAAACAGATGATTGTGCTCTACCCATGTTAAAAGTAGATCTAGGCCTACTGGTGTATATTTACGTTCTACCTGAGGCATATATTCAGTTTAGTGGTAGTTTACTTTATTTCTTTTTTCAGTAGTACAGTAAGAGAATACCAGGAAATTGCAATTTAGAACACTAGGAATGAAGTTATTTCTTTCTAACAGTGATCAATGAAGCAATTAAACATAATAGTATGTTTTGTATGAGAATTATAAAACTGAATGAACTTTTTTTCCTCTCTTTCCTATTTAAAGGAAGAGCCAAGGCTGGATGTTCTGATTAATAATGCAGGGATATTCCAGTGCCCATACATGAAGACAGAGGATGGTTTTGAGATGCAATTTGGTGTAAACCACTTGGGTCACTTCTTGCTCACCAACCTTCTTCTGGGCCTTCTCAAAAATTCTGCTCCGAGCAGGATTGTGGTAGTATCCTCAAAGCTTTACAAATACGGAGAGATCAACTTTGAAGACTTGAACAGTGAAATAAGTTACAATAAAAGCTTTTGTTACAGTCGGAGTAAACTGGCTAACATATTATTTGCAAGGGAGCTAGCCCGTCGATTAGAAGGAACAGGAGTCACTGTCAATTCACTTCATCCTGGGATTGTCAGAACGAATCTAGGCAGATATGTGAATATTCCTTTTCTGGCAAAACCCCTATTCCATTTGGTGTCATGGGCTTTCTTCAAAACACCTCTGGAAGGAGCACAGACTTCTATTTATTTGGCCTCTTCTCCTGATGTAGAAGGTATATCAGGGAAATATTTTGGGGACTGCAAAGAGGAGGAACTCCTGCCCAAAGCCATGGATGACTTGGTTGCAAGGAAGTTATGGGATATCAGTGAAGTGATGGTTGGATTATTGAAATAAGTGCCAGAGACTATCTACTGAAAATAATGCAGATAACTGTGCAATGCGTATTTGCGACAGTGTAATCCTCGCTTTACATGGTGTGGGAATACATACTACTTTGCTCATAGATATTAGATGGAGGAGTGATTTATGCTGGAACTCAGTTTGGAAATAAATCATAATCTATATTTAATAGACAGGAATGTAAAAAGATCTCAGAGTTTGAGGGTGTGAATATAACTTCTAATTAAATCTCTTTGGAAACTTGTGTTCTGCAAATAAAAATTAAAACTGTGTTATGCAATGTATATGCTTATTTGTCGTGTTCCGTAGCTTGTAGTCAGATTGGACAACGCAGGGTATTGATGGTGAAACACTTTTCCTGTAAAAAGACTAAGAAAATTTATCCTGATATTAATAATGGGATTGTTATCTTTTTGAGCCATCACAATGAAAAAGAGAGTGAACAGTTTTACTAGTGCCTTACACTGTAATCATTTAGGCCTCTGAGTGCCAGTGAAAGCTTTGTCATCAGCCATGTGGTTCAGTGGACAAGAACTCGAGCTGTATATAGCTCAGCTGTGAAGTCAACTTTTTGAATAGTATCATTGCCATTCGATGAGTAATATGCTTTGTGCAAGCTGTATTTCATGTGCGCTAAACTTGTTATTTCTTAATATGCACAGACACCCTCAATTTCATTTAAAACTTAGTTGACCGATGTCTTACGGTCTCAGAAGCACTGTGCACGTCTTGAGTTGTATCTGTGCAAAGTTCACAAAAAGACCTCAACCCAGACCAGAGTGAAGAGAATATGCTTGTCAATACGTGTTTAGTTTGATGGATGGCACTTTAACTTAGTGATGAGATTAGATAAGTCTGTCTAATCAAGCTTGGTGAATATTCTTTAATAATCAAAAATAAAATAAAAAAAGACTTAACAGCATTCTTTCACTGTGGAAGATATAATTCAGAAAACAGCACTCTTGACATGGTAGCCTTGTTTCACAGCTAAAAAGTTCACCTCTGTCAGTTTAGGGAGCCTCTGCTCTGTTGAATTAGTAGGATTAAAATGGGCCCCAAAGAAATATATGAATATTACACAGAGCTATGCTGATTTATTCTTTTTGAATTCATATAATTAGTGGGTTTATATTAATGTTTATGACTTCTTGTTTTGCTCTGAATTAATAAAATGTGGTAATAGTTAATTTAGGATAAATAGAGTAAATATAAAAGAAAATGATTAAGACTGTTCTATCTTATGAAAACAAATTACTGAAGCACTATTAAGTGATGTGTGTCATAGATTCTTATCACCTATTTACAAATACATATAAGTTCTGAAGTTCAGTCAGCACCCATACTGTTGAGATTCGTTCTTTGGTTGTTTAATCAGATTCACCATCTTTTAACTTTAGCACAATGGAACAGTAATCATCTATCCATCCCCTTGGAACAGTAATCATCTATCCATCCCCTTTGCTAGCAAGAAAATACTCTGGGTGAGTGACTTGGTTTGTGAGAGGAAGATCCCCCTTTCATTCCAGAAAATCACAAGGCAAAGCAGGAAACTGAGTAGGCTTTTAAGCATGTCGAGTGTTGTACTGCTCATTGAAAGGCAAGGTGTAGAGATGGGAGTGTTGTCAAAGCCTTGGATGCAAAGGTGGGACTGCAGAGAACACTGCTAGTCTGACAGTACTGTAGTAAAGAACTGCAGTGAAGCTATCTGAAGTGCAGAGGAATATATAACTTTCCAGACTGAAGAGCCGACACTAGCCTTCAAAACAACAAAGGCAGATCTGCATAGAAATAAAGAGATGTGGAATAGTAAGTACCAGCCAAGTGATGTGACTATATAAAGAAGTAATGCTTCACATACCTAGTGGGTGTTTATTTTTATTTTTTTCCCCTGAAACGTTGTAGCAATAAGAACTTTTATCAAAAAGTAGTTACCTTCCTGTAATCATATCTAAATCACAGCCCTTGTCCTCTAAGAGAGTGGTCACATGATACTCAATGGAATATAATATGCCTGAATGAATATTGCCACATTTTGAAAAGACAGATTGTTAGGAACAGTAGCATCAAAAGGTAAGATTTTTTCAACGCCAGACCTGAGTAAAATTTGTCACCTTCAAGATTGAATGTAATTTAGCCTCTGTGGTCAGGAAAGCTGTTACTGTTAAGACTGCTGTTATAGTTTATTTTATAGTTTATTTTTGTGATGCTTTTGTTGTTTTAGTATTATCTATGAATTCCAGACCTTATAGGCTAGCAGCTCTTTGTACAATGCATGTAAGTGCAAAACCAAAGAGGAGCCCTTGCCTCAACGAGCAGTACTGCTGACTTGATCTGGATTAGAACCAAGCATTTTGGCCAAGAAAGTATACTATACTACATTAGATGTTAGCTCAGATATATATCCATGGTTTGAAGATTGTCTACTGAATGTCTTTTCTTGGAGCTGGTAAAGAGATTGGTGGCTTGCTCCACCCACTTCACATTTCACCCCAGTGTTACAGCACTTCCAAAAAAGGTGGCAAGCTCTCTATGTTACTATTCTGTAACCCATTTATCCAGAGCTATCTGGTGTAGTACAGCCAAAAGAGAGTCACATTCCAGATACTTCCCTCCACTGTCACCAGCACGTGAGCACCACCACCCTCACATAAACTGATTTCCAATTGGAAGTGAAGACAAAACGGAAAAAGTAAAGGAGTGAAGTGGGCCCGCTGCTGAATGGGGCGGGGAGTCACATTCCAGATACTTCCCTCCACTGTCACCAGCACGTGAGCACCACCACCCTCACATAAACTGATTTCCAATTGGAAGTGAAGACAAAACGGAAAAAGTAAAGGAGTGAAGTGGGCCCGCTGCTGAATGGGGCGGGTGCCCTGGTAGCAAAGGATACAGAGAAGGCAGAGTTGCTGAATGCCACCTCTGCTTCAGTCTTCACTGCTAAGGCCAGTCCTCAGGAATTCCAGACCCTGGGGACAAGAGAGGAAGGCTGGAGAAAGGAAGACTCTCCCTTGGTGGAGGAGGATCAGGTTAGAGATCTTTTGTCCAAACTTGACATCCACAAATCCATGGGCCCCGATGGGATGCACCCACGAATGCTGAGGGAGCTGGCGGATGTTATCACTAGGCCACTCTCCATCATCTTTGAAAGGTCCTGGAGATCAGGAGAGGTGCCTGAGGACTGGAAGAAAGCCAATGTCACGCCAGTCTTCAAAAAGGGCAAGAAGGAGGAGCCAGGAAACTACAGGCCTGTCAGCCTCACCTCCATCCCGGGAAAGGTGATGGAACAGCTCATCCTGGAGGTCATCACTAAGCATCTGGAGGACAAGAAGGTGATCAGGAGTAGTCAGCATGGATTCACCAAAGGGAAATCATGCTTGACCAATCTGATAGCCTTCTATGACAGAATGACTGGCTGGGTAGATGAGGGCAGAGCAGGGGATGTTGTCT